ACTAAAACTAAATTTTACACGCTACATCATCTAAGTTTCTTTAACATCATTTTCCTCTGGATATTTATAATTGAGAAAACTCTTCACTTCACCATTTTCAATTTTAAGATTTAATCGAATCTTTTCATGATTCCTGTACCTCTCGTATTTCTTAAGGTAAATATTGTAATGTGGCATCGTCTCATAGAATCTTGGGAATTTCTTCTTTTTCAGTACAACTCTGTCATTCATGACATATTGTATGAAATCTAGCGTCTCATCTTTTGGTATTTCATCTTTCGTTCTTACAACGCTTGGACTGGCTACTACAGTCGGATAGTATTCATTTTCATCTTTATATTCAACAAGGTGTAATTTTTTCTCTTCCGCAAGCTGTTGATGTGTTCTCTACAAATCAAATATTAAATTAGTTAAAGTACAAAGTGAAACTGACTCAATGCCAAAAACATTTGCTTTACAATGGAACTTCAGTGTGTGTGTGTGTGTGTGTGCATATAAGTGTGCTTAATCCGTTTTCCTCAAAATCAACTCAACATCAAAAATTGTTATAACAATTGAAGAATGTGAATAAACTTTAAAAATTGATAGATTCATTGTTTATTATTGTAATCAGCTGTTAAAGTATAGCACTCTTACCTGCTGCAGAAGACCAATGAAGAAAGCTTTGACAATATGTTGCAGATTATGGGAGCCTTCCACCTTAGCACGCAGATCCTTAATGCCAATAGCTTGGCAGATCTCCTTGATAGCTCGGTGACAACTCAAGCCAAAACCTTCATTCTTTTTCTCAACATAAATCTTTGTTTTTCCGAAAGCCGTGAAGAAATCATGGAAAACTATAGTAAAAGAAAACATATATTTTTAATGAATTATGATCCTAGTAATATCTAATCGGAAAAATGTAAAAATCACTTACTTGTGTGGCCATTGTAAATATCAAAATGCATCAATTTCTTTCCAGCCCTGTTTTTTGCTTTCCTTAATGCTGCTGGGGCTTCCTTGGCTCTGCCAAGACCAAAACCTGCAAGACCTTGTCCATTTCCAGTAACAACCTATGAAATAGAAAAATAAATATTATTTTTAATTTAAAATGAATACAAAATGTTTTCAGCTCCATTGAAGTGTTAATTTATTTGAAATTATTATTAATGGAAAATAATACTATAATTTGAACCTCACCATTGCCTGGTAATTCCGAGTTCTGCCTAAAGTGCCTTTCATTATCAACAAAGATCTCAGTTGCAGCACTTTTGTGTCAAATCCAGTAAACTCTTCTGCAGAATTAAAATAATTGATTATTATGCAAATTACAATTTTATAACATTGCCTTTTTGAAGTAAAATTCATTTCAAAATTGCTAAATAATCTTATGATTCTAGCAATTGTAATACTTTGGTAAAGTTATTAGGCATAACAATAAAAAAATATTACCATCAGCCACTGGATCGGGTGGTCCAATGCTTCGTCCTGGCATACGAGTTCCAGACCAACCTCTCTCAATGGTACTCAATTTAAGTCTACGGAATTTTGTCATTGAATCTCGTAGCTTGATTAGTTTTTCCATTCTGGAAAGAAAATAGTCATATAACTTTGATACTTTGGGTAGTATTATATTAATAGACTGTATAATAACATTGACTTACCTTTCAGGATCATCAGGCAGCCGTTGTTGTTTCAACAGTTCTCTACCTCTTATAACAGGTGCGGACAAACCTGGCCACAGCATATTAACCTTTCCCACTCCTATCACTTGTCCGCGGTTCAAATCTCGAATTCTTATACGTCCCGCGCCTTTACCACGACCTTTTTTCGCTCCAGCGTTACTTACAGATGTCACGGATTTCCACAACTTTTCCGCAGGTACTATTACAATTATAAAACAATTTGATCTCATACATGGCTTTCAAAAGATAAGTACTGTTATATTCTATACTTACGTTTATTAAAAAAGTTTATACAAGCTATCGAAGATGTACTGAAATTTTTTAGGTTATGAACTACATTGTTTTGATATGTCGGTCCTCGGTTGTATAATATATTTATAGGCTTTTTAATCAGATGTTTTAGTGAAAATAACTTAAGGGCCATGATAAACACAGCGATTAATTCTGTGTTTTTTTAATTAGATATTAAAATTTATTCATTGCCCTTAAAAAATAAAAACGATATTTGACAACTGACATTGACAGTTGAGGGAGGCTGACGATGACATCAAACTGACACCTACACTAACGTACAAAAATAATCCAGTCATAGAACAATTTTGTAATCTCCTAAATATCGTTTTTATAGGAGTGTTCTTTCCTTTAGTACAGTCTTAATACTTATCTTCTATCATCATCCGTTCGTATAAAATAATTCAAAAATATTTAATTGTAGATTTGTACAAATTTCTGAAAATATTTATGAACGATAACAACAAAATATTGACAAATTGTCATGTAATTTACGTGGCTGACAGATTGATATAATTTATAGAAACCGAACTGAGACATGTATTGCAGATTTTCTGAATTCAATACTATAAATTATTAATTATACCATATATTTTTGAAATTTAATCAGATTCCTATCGTTTTAGTGGAAATGGGTCTCTGTAAATGTCCGAAAAGAAAGGTTACCAACCAGTTTTGTTTTGAACACAGAGTGAATGTTTGCGAAAATTGTATGGTAACAAACCATCCAAAGGTAAGCGAAAATAATCAACAATTAAATGAAAGAACAAGCCCACTGTACTAAACAAGTCTCTATTCCTCTACAGTGCATTATACAGTCCTATCTTCAGTGGCTTCAAGATAGTGATTATAATCCCATTTGCGAAATATGCACAAAAAGTCTATCCGAAGGGGAGTGCATACGGCTAACTTGCTATCGTAAGTGGACTATTTGTATTTATCTTAATATGGGACAAATAAAAATATTGACAAAATACATGGGATTTTCTAAATTCTTACACTTTGCTATCATTTTTTTACAGATGTATTTCATTGGGAATGTGCGGAGTCTCGTTACCGTGCATTACCACGCACAACAGCCCCAGCTGGCTACCAGTGCCCATCTTGTGCTACTCCAGTATTCCCTCCACCCAACTTGGTGTCCCCTGTAGCTGATGTACTCCGAGAAAAGCTTGCGGGTGTCAATTGGGCGAGAGCAGGTCTTGGCTTACCATTGGTAATAAGAATTTATGTTTTTTAATCAGTCTGCAACAAAGCATTTACAGTAATATGATTTTGCTTAGGAACAAAAATATATAAAAGTACACTACATAACTGTAGAGATTAGTAATCAATTATATGTAAATACATAAACCATGATGATGATGACATAAACCAGGACTTTAAACTTTATAGCAAAATTATTCCACAAAAGTAGTTGTATATTAAAAATTCATAATAATAGCTTTCAGATGACCAAGACATGAAAGGTGCTGCAAGTAGATGCAGTCAATCCCCATTAGAAAAATTCCATTATTCTAATAATATAATGGATAGCCATCGCGGAACTCCTGTTGGGGCAAGTGATGATGAATCAACGAACCGTTCTGCAACAAGCTCACCTCATTCCATAATTCAGATTCCAGATGAACCTGTCAATATATATGATGGTACATCTAAAAGAAATGATAGCTTGCAAGGTATTTATAACCTACTAGCGTTCGCCCCAACTTCGTCCACACCGTAAAAATCAATAAGAAGTGTATGTATTCTTCCAGACTATGTTCTATATCTATGCCAAATGTCAATGAGTTCAGACATTCTGGAGATACCTTGTAACAAACATCCATCCATCCCCACAATATTAGTAGGATTATATTAAATCTAAAATTCTATGAATGATATGGGTTGTTTTTAAGAATTGTATGTAATTCAACTAAAATTGCAGGAAGTCAAGCACCAAGAAAAGGTTTCAAATTACTTGACAACTCAAGTGTAATTCCTAATTTTGATCATGATGAAAACAAATATAAACAAAAGTCAACATTTGCTTGGGTCAACAGATGGTGGAAGTAAGTAGCTCTTCAACCTTTAGTTGTATATGACTAGTTTATACCAGCGACTCCGTTCGCGAGTAATCAAAAATCTTTATTAGTTAGTATTAGTACTATCTTTATAGTAGTGTGTTCCTTGAGACTATGTTCTAAATCTTCGTCAAATTTCAGCAAAATCCACAGTCTTTCTGGTGATACCTCCTAACAATCATCCATCCATCTTTCTAAACATTTGCATTTATGATATTAGTAATTTTTTTTATTCAATTAACATATTTTGTGTCAATGAATCATCTCATAATTTTACATTAATCCACGAAAATTATAATTACATTAAATGTGTAAATGATATCATTTATGTAATTAGTATTCTCTTTATAGTTAATCAAATATCAACAATGAAAGTATGCATTTTGTCTCTTATTACGAGCTTTGCCTCTGCAGTTTCTATTATCATACCTAGACATGTTAGTAGCTGTTTAATCTAGCTAAGCAGGAAATTGGAAAAAATTCTAACCTGTATAAATTTAAATGTATCTATACTATTATGAAGTTACGAGTAACAGTCTATATTTATTACTACAAAAGAAATATATTTATTTTTGAATGAACAAAATGTAATATGGAATAATTTTATACAGGAATACACTTCCCTCTTCTCGCATACGAAGAGCTGGTGGTCTGTACAGGCGTTACTGGATCATGCTGTTTGTACTGATAGTGGTAATTGTCATTTTAGTCCTGCTTAGCCACCGAGATGTTGATGAGGAGAACCCCTTTGGAGTTATCCATGATGACGGACATAGAATATTGCAGAAAAATTAATCTCTTATTTATTTATTATTTATAATTACAATTATTTTATTGAAATCAAGCAATTATTAAAGTGATATGTGTACTAAGTTTAATTGTATGATTTACTTGTTGTTCTTTGAGAATGTACAATTGTAGAGAATAAATAACTTCAAACCATAATTGTGTTTCAATGAAAAATTTATTTTATATCATACATTTTAGCTCATACATTTTGTCTTAATAATTATATTTGCAAGGCACATTCATAACAGTGTAATCATACATACATAAACATTTTATACAATCAGGCAAAAGCCTAGCCGTTTTAGAAGCTTTTGCCATTTTATAACATCATTATATGGTAATGTTTAAAGCAATTATGCTGCAAAATTTATGACAATATTGACTAGAATCCTTGTAGCAAATGCAATTGCAAAAAAATTGTGGTTATATTGATGCTTTAGAGTTTAAAGTATCTTTGTGCATGTTTCAACCTCTTTATCTAAAAACAGTACAGAAAATATGTCATTGTAGAAATTAGGATAGTACACACAAGCACGCTGACAATCTGGCATCCAGTTTACTTCTAACAATTTAGGTTCTATGACTGATTTATTTGTATCCCAGCTTAACATTAAATCAGCAGCGTAAACCGCTCTGGACTGTGGACTCTTAGCAATTCCAAATGGTGGTTGTTTAGAGGTTGCCGCAGTGAATAATTCAGCAAACATCTTGAATATCGATTTTTCCACTTCATCCCAAGAAAAATTATCATATTGTTTCGCCCAGTTCTCTTTAAATTCTGCACAAAGCATTCTATACAGTTGTACACCTTCAGCATAATTCATTACAGTGAAATGTTTCTCGTAATCTTCGAAATTGTCAAGAGAAAAGGCTTTGTTAGAAAATCTAAGAAAGAAATTATTGTAAATGTAAACTTCATTAGGGTTAACAGATTTCAACAGGATTACATAACGAATATCAAATTTAACCAACCCTACATTTGGTCTTTCAAATAAAACTGGATTGTGTATATATTTTTGAGCAATTTTTGGTCCAGTTAATGGCAGTCGACATAAAAAGTTCAAATTATCAGTTATATTAATATCCAAACCTCTTGCTAAGTTATAAGGTTTGCAAATCCAATGGTTATCTAAACCGTTTTTCTTTCTTTGCATATAGTAAGCAACAAGTTTTGAAAGCTCAGTCTTCATATTAAATGTGGTAGGTAACCATGTTGGCAATGTTTCTAGCTTATCCTTGTCAACGTTATTGCCTTGTTCATAACACCTCCTAGCAACAATAGCTAAAAGATCTTTTATTGTGATCACATACTCAAAAGGAAACTGATTAATAAATTTATGTGGTGAATCAACACTAAATTCTTGATAATTTTTAAAATGATTTGTTAACCACAAAATATCAGCATCTCCGTCATTGTCAACAATTTCAAAATCTGGTAAAGTCAAATGTTCATTGATCAGAGAATATTCTGAAAATACTTTCAATTTTTCAGATCTGGTTTGCCTAAGTTGTAATATTTCTACATAGGGTAGAGTTTCAATAATATGTCCTTCTAAGAAGTACCTTTTATCTGGTTCTTCCTGGGTAAAGTCTTCATCAAAATATTCATAGTGCTTCCAAGGTATAAGCATAGCTTCCCGTTGTTTGGGATCAGGGTAATGGCCCTCCACAAAGTTTACAGTAATTGTGTCACCTTCTTCAACATTTTCAATAGGAAAAAGTAAAGTATATGTCAACTGATGAGGCACATAAATAAATGGTACGGCACGAAAATTGGGATTATCAGAATGTATGATACCGAAACCCAACAAATCTAATACATACCACACGGGTACCCGATCTTCGACAGAAAATTCACTGCCTGATATAGCGTAGGTGTGCGCGTAACGCCATATATTTCGCGATACTTCTTCAATTCTTTCTTCAGCATCAGTACTTGTTATTTGCATATAATTACACATAGTTTCTAAAAGGCCAGGAACATTTCTTAGGTTCCTCTTTACACTATTGGCCTTAAAAGTCCACGCATGATCTACGAGATAAATGTGATCTGAATTCGCCTTGTCTATATCAGTTATTGCCATTACACACCAAATGGGGTCATAAGGCATTTTCTGCTTGTCTTCATAATCTATCTGCATTAATTCAAAAGCCACACCAGAATCTAAAATTTGATCACGTAATTTTTTGCACAATGTGTGCCAAAAATGTTCAGGAACGCCCGATGAAACTAATTGAGGCTTGTGCATAGCCAAAAAGGTGTTATAGTTTGATATTCCATCCATATCGAAATAAATATATTTTGTAAAAGCTAGAGAAAACTAAATTTTATATCTAATTCAAAAATTTGGTACAAAAAGCTAGTGAGTACCGGCACAATACAGACTGATAATGACAGATAACAGCAGTCAGATCAGATGACACACCCCGTTGGCATTGACAGTTACACAGAGTATATAAACTTCAAATAAGTCATGTTATAATGCTGCCACTCCAAATAAAAATTGTTGAATCGATTTTTCAACTTATTAAGTACAGAAGGTACAGAAAAATCAGTTCGGAACTACAGACCGTTGGTAGGAATAAAAATTGTTGTTTACAGTGATATATAATAATTTATATATTTAAAGGCAACCAACCCTCACTGGGACAGCGTGGTTGACTATGGCCTAATCACCTTTAACTTATACGTCCCCACCGAGGGGCTCGCAGTAGGCTCTGAGCCCCTCGGTGGGGACGTATAGTGAACTGATGATGATATGTAATGGTCTTAGTTGACTTGTCCTCTACGCAAGGTGGTGTAGATCTCCATGCCAATATTTTTTGCTATCCTATGCTCTGCAAAGTCACTTTTCTGCTTAATCGGCATCGGCTGTCGGATTCTGCGGGACAAAACTGTGGTATATAATTCACTGGAAGAAGTAAATTAAGCTTTTGTTCCTAGTAAATAATATTTATTAAATTTTATTTTATAAAATCTAATTTCCTTACATTAAAACTTATAACTCGACAAAGTCGTAAGCGTCTTCTTCTGTTTGCAAAGGGAATTATAGTATATTTATCAATAACTCAACTATACAACAATAAGCAGAGTTAAGGCCTCCAAACACAAGCTTCTTTTTGAGATCGCGCCAAAATACAACTTCTAAAAAATATTGGCAATGTAAAGACTAGTGGTAAGTATATAAAATTGGAATAATGTGTTCTATGGAGGCCTCACAATTTGGATGAACCCTTTAATAAATTACAACGGGGAAATCTCCGAATCACTTGTAGCAGGTATACACCCTTTAACCTTTACAAAAATTGTAGACACAGGGTACAAATAGTTAAATAATCGCCCATAGAGCTATAGTAACAATAATAACTTATAGTAACAATATGAAACACAATTTTATATCTATCTATTGATATTTCAGTTTGAATCTGAGTCCATATGATTCCTGTAATTGCGTCTCGCTCGTTTGACGCGCTGTCGGAACTTCAGGGTCTGGTATTCGGGGTCGTCGGAGACGTCGTCCTGTGCGCGGGTAGTACGTTGGCCGCGGGATGAGCGCGAGCCGGTGCCGGCGCACGTGCCCACCCCGCTGTCAGGAGTGGCGGGTGTGGCGGGTGTGGGGGGCGTGGCGGGCGT